TCACATACAATTATGATTCGTGCATGATGCATACGTCTGGTATACGTCAGCCGTATACGTCACAGTATACGGGACATATACTGACGAAATTTCACGGGGTGGGTGGTGGTGCACGCACTTCCACGCATCCAGAGGAAAAAAATGAACAGCATCGTATGTCACACGACAGCACGATGGATAGCCGAGTGGAAGCAGCATTCAAGCAAGGTTGTCAACCATAAAAATTGTAAAGCCCGCCGCGACCGGCCGCGCGCGCGGGTGTGTGGAGGTGGTTGGCCAACCCATTTTACTGCGGCCTCCGAACCCACCGTCGTTGTTATTTGCCATTCATTGTCTCGAGGTGCAAAGCGCTGCTGGCCGCTGTCCTGCCTCCTCCTGCTGGCCATGAACGCCTCGCTCTCCGCCACACGCCTCGGCGGCCCCCGGCCTACTCGAGTTTCATTTGCGCCTCGCGGAGACCCCCGGTCGTCATCGGCCGCCGGACCCACGCCACGCCTCCTGCATAAGCAGGCAGCACCACGGTGTGCAGCGCCACTAGGAACTAAAAGTCCACCTGGAACAGCTTGCCCCCCGCCAAGCGGTACGCAGGGGGCGGGTATAGGCCGGCCCGCGGCGCAGGCGTGTCCGGCGGGTCTGCCTACCGCACGGGCGCTCCAGGCGGGCGGCGCGGCGCCCCGCGCGCGGCGCCAGCAGACATTACGGACAGAAATTGATCTGCAAATAAGACAGCGGCGGCGGCGGCTGCCGGCAGGGCATTCCCACAGTGATGCGCGACCACGGCGGGGAGAGAGAGCCGTGGGACCTGCTGCGCTGCACGCCGGGCGTAGCGCGGAGGCGCGCGGGACCATCACCGATCGGTCGCACTCGCCGGGGGAACATCGACGTGCCCGAGAGGTCGTGGAGCGGCGATGGTACACGCGGTGGAAAAGCGCGCATTCTCGGAGATACGCTGCTGCTGGGGTGTACGCCCACCCGCGCCGATGCCGAGGGAACGGCGGCGGCGCGGCGGAGACGTTGGCCCGGCGTGGGCAGTGCGGGCGGTGCGGAGTGGCGCGGTGCGGCCTGCTTGGGGAGGTGAGGAAGGTGCCTCGGTGCAGACACTTCACGACGGTGCGCACGCCGGGCCGACGTGTATGCGGCAGACCGGCACCAAGCCTGCTGTTCCAGTTCATGATAAAGCAGCAGGCAGGTTTTTGTCTCGCTCGCTGCTGGCGCGGGCCGTGCATTCATTGCCGTGAGTTGCAGACTAGACGGGGCTTGCCGCCGAGTGGCGGGTGGAGGAGCAGGAGGAGGAGGTGGCGGTGCTCGGGGCGGCGGGGCTCACCAGGACGACGAGGGCAGAGATCATGTGTCCGAGCGGGGCTCCCTCGGGGGCCTCGGCGCCCCCATGGGGGGCCGCCTCACTCCGCGGCATGGTGCTGCTTTTTCGTCCTCTCCTCCGCCTTTGTGCTCATCTTCTTGTTTTTCTCTCTTGCCTCAAAATTGGCCACGCGCGGCAAGAGAAGAGAGCTCTCTTGCTGGCCGTCGCGCTGCTCACAGCAATTACCACTTACTCCCACACACATATGCGCGCGCCGATATTCACACAGACGTAAGACGCACACACACACAGAGGCGCGCGCGTGCGCACGCCTGCTGTAAAGACAAGGTGTGAGGCACCAAGGCCGGCGGAGGGTCGGGCACAGACTGACATGAGCTGTCAATGCACCCGCCGCCGCTCAGCGCAGCGCGCAGCCCCGCCCCCGCCCACCCCGCCCCCCCGCGGGGGAACTCTTCAGTTTCACCTGCCGGCGCTTTGCTGAGTGCGTGCCGGAGCGGGGGCGGGGGCGGGAGGAACTGCGTTCACAACACCCTTCCCCCCGCTTCCCCCCGACAGCTACAAGTGGGAGAAATGAAGACCAAAAATCCGCACCCCTTTCCTTTGAGCGGTTACTTTGTGGCGCACGGGCGTCTCCGCGCCTCTTCCGACAGCCATTATCACACAACACTCACCTTGTGATTCAGGTCCAGCACGTCCTCCTCCAGGCTGGCGTCCGAGTACAGGTCGTCCGCCGTGTCGCACGTCGAGCTGCGCCCCGAGGAGTTGAAGCTCGAACTCCGGTACAGCTGGCTGCAGAGAGGGAGAGAGAAAGACGCCCAATGAGACCCTTGCTGTGCTCCGAGTGGACTGTTAGAGTTTCGAACATGTAAATAGCGCGGGTTAAAACAGACAAAGCCGCCATCATCACAATCAGTAAAAAATTTAGGAAGCTGAACGCACGCAGGCAGCTTTTGTAGTACAGGGTGCCCATAACAGAGCCCTGACTGCTAAGCCTCGCGCATGCCTGTCGGCGAGTACACACTAAATGTTCTTGTACTTTTCTGTGCATACATGTATACAAATCTGCGCATGCAGTATTATGCACGTATTTTCCCTTTTTTGCAGAAATTTATTTATAACCAGGCACAACTTTGTGCAAATATATTTCAGTACAATAATTTGTGCGTCATTTTGTTCAAATTCGTGCATAATTTTGCATGCGCAGATCTGCCCATACTTACGCACAAAAAATATACATAAACATTTAGTGTGTAGTTGTTCTCCAACGTTTCGGGGTCAGAAGACACCCGAGTCTTTTAATGACTGAGGGCGTACTCAAACCGCGGGCCAAACCCGCCCGTATGTAGGCTGCATGACTAATGAACGAATACAAAAGTAGTATAAGTCGCGGGCCGTGTGCCACTCAGTCACGCAGACAAGCGGTCGCGTTGCAGATACGGTTCCGGAGTCCTGAACGGCCAGCCGCCAACAGCTCGCGGGCGCTGATTGGGCTGCCTACCCCTCGGGCGGCCGGGGCGCGCGCTCTGCGAAGCCGCTGCCCAGGACGGGCGGCCGGGCCCAGCTGGGCCCAGGCTCCCCTTCCGACGGGCGTGCCGCTTGGGCTGCCTATCCTGCGGGCGTGACGCGTGACCGGCGGTCAGTCTGAACTGCCTCGGCATGGCACGCCCAAGCCGAGAACGACATATGGCTATGCTAAACTACATCCGCATGCACCACATTTCGGAAGTGTCTTACTCAGTAAATTTTGTGACAATTGCCATACAAATGCAAAGGTCGGGGAAAGGGTGTTATCCCTCATTAGACATAGTAATTGTTCTGTCACGTTTCTAGCCGAAGGTGGTCAGCAATACTTTATCACTGGTTTTAGAGTTAAACATTTGGTGTGAATGAATTTATAAAAGTGACTTCCGTACTGTACACATGATAGTAGGTCCTACTATCATGCTGTACATGACATGTATCGCCAAACTAGGTTGATGTTTTCGAACAGGAATCTCATCAACTCCAATAATTACTGAGAAATAATATCAACAACCGCAGCTTACTCTGAGTCGTGTGTGTTCGCGAGTCATGTGATCGAGATAACTCCTCCAGGATATGGCAAAACAATGAACACGACTCTTCGTGTATCAGTGACGATTGTGACGAAATTGCGACGGGTGATAAAGGCAGCAGACTTACCTCGCCAGCGCGTTGGAGCCCAGAGCCGCCCGCTTGCCCGCACTGCAACAAGGAAAAGCACAACACACATGAGTATAACGTATCCACTACAGTATCCAGGACAGGTAGATCCTGCAGGTAGGGGCGGGGCGTGCAGGGGAGGGGGTGAAAGGGGACAAGGAGGGGAGGGGCGTTGAGAACAATCCCGCACGATTCCTCCCAGAAACCCGCCGCCGCTGCGCGCGCGCCGGAGGAATGTGTCGGCAGGAAAGCGCAAAGCGCGCAAGCCAAGCCGGTCCGCCGCGGCGGCCCTCCGCCTTCTGTCCCAATGGGGCAATACGAGATGTGGCGGCCGATGCGGACGAGTGGGCCACTGGGCCAGCGAGTACAGTCCGAGCAGGGGCGGGGCGGGGCGGGGCGGGGCGGGCACCACCGATACAGATCCAGCAGCACCAGCCTGTCTGCCTTCGGCCCGACCCAGCCCTGCGCCGCCGCGCCGCTCCCCGCCACGCCCGGCCGCGGCCACCACGCCCCAGCTAGCAGGCTTCTGTTCCATACTCTGTTCTTACACATACACACACACACACACACACACACACACACACACACACACACACACACACACACAGCCCTTGTTTTCCCTTTCCGGCGGGCGTGTGGGAGGGACGGGGTCCGCTCTCTATTGGCCGCCCCGCCCCGTCCCGCCCCGCCGACACGACACGGTGCCCGATAAAGCCCGCGGTACTGCACCAATTAGCGGAGCGACAGGAGGGAAAGGCCGCCAATTAAAGGCACTGAGGGCGAGGCGACAGGGCCCGGGCGGGGCGGGGCAGGGCAGGGCGGGGCAGGGC